ATGGCTCAGAGCCCCCCAGTAAGAGACTGGGGGCCCTCATGGGCACTTGAAATCCCCCACTAAGGGATTGTGTCCCCCCAGTAAGGAACATTGAACCCCATATGGGAGTCAGAGCCCCCCAGTAAGGGATTGTGTCCCCCCAGTAAGGAACATTGAACCCCATATGGGAGTCAGAGCCCCCCAGTAAGGGATTGTGTCTCCCCATCAGAGCTCAAAGCCCCCCGCTAAGGGGCTGGGGACCCTCGTGGGGACTTAAAGCCTCCCAGTACAGAATTTAACCCCCCAGTCAGACTCAGAGCCCCTCCAGCAAGGCCCCTCTGCCCGGGGGGGGGGTCCCGGTGGTGGCTCACGTGGCAGTTTGGTGACACGCCAGGGCGCGGAGGCGGTGACGTATCCGCGGCGGGCGGCGGTGACGAGCAGCCAGGAGCCCAGGCGGTAGGGCACGGGCAGGACCCCCGTGCCCGTGTGGTCGGTGGTCCCGGCCGCCAGCGCGCTGCGGGCGCCGAACACGTCCAGCACGGCCTGGGCCAGCGGGGCCAGCGTCCCGCTCTCGTACACCTGCACCCGCAGCAGCACCTCTGGGGGGCAAACGGGGGGGTTAAGGAGGAGGTGGCACCCCCCCGACAGTGGGACCACCTGGGGGACATGAGGATGGGGCCGGAGGTGGCCTGGTGGGTCGTGGGGCCTGTGCACAGGCACCATCCCAGGGGGTCCAGGGCCACCGTCCAGGGCCTCCATCCCAACAGCTTGGTGGGACCTCTCCAGTGGGTCATGGCCACCACCCTGATGGGTCATGGCCACCATCTCAGCAAGTCCTGGCCACCATCCCAAGGGGTCCTGGCCACCATCCCAGGGGGTCCCCAGCCACCGTCCCAGAAGGTGGTGGGACACATCCTGGCAGGTCATGGCCTCCATCCCAACAGGTGGTGGGATCTGTCCTGGTGGGTCGTAGACACCATTCAGGGGGTTCTGGGCCTCCATCCCAATGGGTGGTGGGATGTGTCCTGATGGGTGATGGCCACCACCCTCATGGGGTCACAGGCCACCATCCCAGCAGATGGTGGGACACATCCTGGCAGGTCATGGCCTCCATCCCAACAGGTGGTGGGACCTGTTCTGGTGGATTGTGGCAACAACCCTGGTGGAATACAGGCACCGTCCCAGCAGATAGTGGGACACATCCTGGTGGATCATGGCCACCAGCCCAGGGGGTCAGAGACCACCATCCCAGGAGGTCACAGGCCACCATCACAACAGGTGGTGGGACACATCCTGGTGGTTCATGGCCACCATCCCAGGGGGTCATGGCCAGAATTCCAACAGGTGGTAGGACCTGTACCGATGGATCATGGTCACCATCCCAGCAGGTGGTGGCCACCACATCAGCAAAATGGTGGGCCCCATCCTGGTGGGTCATGACCACCATCCCAGCAAATCATGGGCACCATCCCAACAGGTGTTGGGACCCATCCCAGTGGGTCATGGCCACCACCCTGGTGGTCCACAGTCACTATCCTGGCAGGATGGTGGGACCCACCCTGATGGGGACCATCCCAGAAGGCCATGGGCACCATCCTGGTGAGTCACAACCACCAACCTGATGGGTCATGGCCGCCATCCCAGCAGGTGGTAGGACCCATCCCAGTGGCCACCATCCCAGCAGGTCACAGCCACCCCCCAGCTGGGTCACAGGTGCCCCTCAGCAGGCAACAGACACTGCCCTGGGGGATGTGGGCACCACCCCTGTGCCCCTTTCTGTGCCCACCCTGCTCCCCCTTGAGGGGGACTCATGGCCCCAGGGAGCCATGCCCATCTGGGTGGGTGCACTCAGTCACATCCCCCCCCCAGGGGCCACCCAGGGCCACCCCCCAAGGTGCCACTCACACGTGTCACAAGTTCGGGGGGTCTCGACCCCAGCGGGCCCCACCAGCAGCGCAGGGGGTGGTCCCCCCCCGCTCCCCGCTGCAGGACAGGGGTGGGCCCGGCTCAAGGGGGGGGTGTACCCTAAACCCTGGTGTGCCCTCGGCCCCCCCCGAGCCGGCGCCGTTCCTGCGCATGATCCGCAGCCTTTGGCAGCGGTCCCGGCTCCGGCGCCGTCACCCAGGCAACGACCTCCTTCATCCCGCGCCCCGGGGCTCCCGGCACCCCCCGCCTGTCCCCCCGCAGCCCTTGCCCCCCAAAGCCCCCCCCCACCACCCAGCACCCCCCGCCCCCGCCCACATGTGGCCCAGATGTGGCGATGGGCGAGGGGGAGAATTCGCGGCAGCTGCTTCAGTGATGCACCGGGGGGGGGGGGTCAGGGATGGGGGTCCCGCATAGCAGGGACAGCCGGCACCCAGGGGCAGGAATGTCCCCGCGGCCACAGCCGGCCGCCCGCAGCTGCCGGGGGACAGCTGTCACCGACGGCCACCCCGCTGTCCTCCGGAGAGGGGGGTACGTGGTGCCGCCCCCAGCGCGGGGGTACAGCCGTGGCTGCCCCCTTCTCCACTGTCTGTCCCCCCACTTTCACCAAGGGGTCCCCGGAGGCTGTCACGGCCACCACAGGGTACACTGCCCCCCCGCTGGCTCCCCAGTGCCTCCCAGTCTAACCCCAGTGCCTCCCAGTCTGACCTCACGGTCCCATGAAGGATGGGCAGGGGGTGCCAGGCCCCGGGGTGGCAGTGGGGAGCCCCATCACTGCTGTCACCCCGTGGGGACAGGGACAGGCAGGGGTGATGCCAGTGGGGAGCTGAGCCAGCACAGACAGGACTCCTCTCATCCCCGGACACACCTCACCTTGGCACAGGGGCACTGCCAGGAGGGTTTGGGATGGGGGTGAGGGATCACAGGGAGCCGCAGGGACCCCACAGTGGCGCTGCACCCCAAGGCCCCCCCTGCCTGCCCAATGCACCCCCCACCATCCTGCACCCCCGGGCGCTGCTCAAGACCCCCACCCACCCACCCACCACCATGCACCACTCGGCCTGGGACCCCCACCCACCCTCCTGCACCCCCAAGCTCTGCCCATCATCCCCACCCAACTTCCGTCACCCCCCTGGTTTGTGACCCCCACCCACCATCACACACCCTTGGCACTGCCCAGGACCAGCCCCCCACCATCCTGTACACCAAGGCGTGGGACCACCCCCACCCTCTCATCCCCCTCAAGCTCTGCCCATGACCCCCACCCACCCAGCCGCACCCCCTGGCACTGCCCAGGCCCCTCATCCACCCCCCCACCCATCACCCTCTGCCCGCCAGTGGCCAGAACCGCCCGGGGAGGGGGAGACGGACAGACAGACGGGGGGGAGCAACAGAGGGGGGGCAGACGGACAGACAGAGCCGGGGGCAGACGGAGGATGGACAGGGGGATGGATGGAAGGGATGGACGGGGGGTGCGGGCGCGGCGGGGTTGGGGCGGGCAGGGACGGGGGGGTCGAGGCCGGGGAGTGCCGGGGTGGGAGTCGGGCGGAGGGTGGTGCTGGTGGGGTGTCGGTCGGGGGTTGATGTCGGAGCCGGGGGATGCCGGGGGGAGGGATGTCGGTGCGGGGG